CACCGGGTTCACCGGTGATTCAATCTCACCGCTAGGGGCAATCACTTTGCCCTTGACCCTTGGGGTCCCGCCGAGGTCGAAAACGGTGATGGCCACCTTCTTAGTGGTTGACCTCCCCTCTGTATACAACGCCATTCTCGGCCGTCCAACCCTCTACAAAGTCAGAGCCGTCGTCTCGACTTACTACCAAACCGTAAAGTTCCCGACCCACGCTTGGGGTCGGGGAAGTCACGGGAAGCCCTCGAGAATCCAGGCGTTGCTACCTGACCGCGGTTTCGTTACACAAGAAAGCAAGGGTCGAGCCGCCGCTGGGAGATCCTCGGGAGACGAAGAAACCAACCCCCCATCGTGAGCCGAGGGGATCCACCATCGACTTGTCACTACTAGAGGGTCGAACAGATCGGACGATCAAAATCGGGTCGGAACTGCCAGAACAGGAACGAAAGCGGCTCGTCGGCTTCCTACAGGAAAATACTGATGTCTTCGCCTGGTCGCCATCCGACATAACGGGCGTTGATCTGGAGGTCGCGCAACACCACCTCAACATTTCGCCCGACGCCCGCCCGGTGAAGCAAAAACCCAGACGGCAGGCCCTTGATCGGCAACTTGCCATACGAGAAGAGGTGGAACGGCTTCTGACAGCGGGCTTCATAGAAGAAGTCAGATACCCACGATGGCTATCCAATGTAGTCCTCGTAAAGAAGCCAAATGGGAGCTGGAGGATGTGTGTTGATTACACCAGGCTCAACAATGCATGCCCAAAGGATTGCTACCCCCTCCCAAAGGTCGACCAGCTGGTCGATGCAACGGCCGGACACGCTCGCCTCTCATTTATGGACGCCTTCTCAGGATACAACCAGATCAGAATGACGCCCGAAGACCAAGAACATACGGCCTTTCTCACCGATCAAGGGGTTTACTTTTATAAGGTCATGCCATTCAGACTAAAGAACGCTGGAGTTACGTACCAGAGAACAGTGAACAAGATGTTCGCCCACCAAATCGGGCGGAACATGGAAGTTTACGTCGACGATATGATTGTAAAAAGCCAAGAGGTAGGAGCTCACCTTGCCGATCTGGCCGAGACATTCGCCACGCTGCGCAAGTCATGCGACTCAACCCCGCGAAGTGTGCCTTCGGCGTCACCTCAGGAAAGTTCCTCGGGTTTATCATACACGAAAGAAGAATTGACGCCAACCCGGAGAAGGTCCAGGCAGTCATCAATATGCAGTCACCTCGGACAATCAAGGACCTGCAGCGCCTTAACGGAAGGCTCGCCGCCATGTCCCGTTTTCTTGCCCGATCGGGTGATCGCTGCCTCCCCATCTTCAGGGCACTGAAGAACCCGAAGAATTTTCAATGGACGGCAGAATGCGAGGAAGCCTTCAAACAAGTAAAGCAACGCTTGGCCAGCCTCCCCCGACTTGCCTCAGTGTCTCCCGGGGAGAAGCTCGGCCTCTACCTGGCTGCCTCCCGGCACGCAGTCAGTTCCGTTCTGATCAAAGAAAACTCCGGCGAACAGCTACTGGTCTACTACGTCAGCCACGTCCTGAACGGGGCCGAGGAACGATACCCACCGATTGAGAAACTGGCACTGGCGCTTGTGCTATCAGCCCGGAAGCTGTGCCCCTACTTCCAGGCTCACCCAGTGGAGGTCATCACCGACCAACCGCTTCGGCAGATCTTGTCTAAATTTGATGTTGCAGGACGTCTTCTCAAATGGGCGGTGGAGCTCGGCGAGCATGACGTACGATACATACCCAAAACCGCTATCAAAGCCCAGTCCGTGGCCGACTTTCATCGCGGAATTAACTCAGATCGAGGACGTGAATCTCGAGCAACCTTCTGAAGCATTGGTCCTGCACGTGGACGGATCGACCAACTCAAAGGGCGCCGGCACGAGGCTGGTGCTACTAGCTCCCGACGGGCGTTCGTTCGAGCGTTCCCTCCGCTTCGGGTTCCAAGCCACTAACAACGAGGCGGAATACGAGGCGCTCCTAGCAGGACTCAGGTTGGCTCTCGAAATGCAAGTGGTCGCCATACACGTCCTCACCGACTCGCAGCTAGTAGCCGAGCAACTCAGCGGCGGGTACGAGGCTCGGGACTCGATCATGGCGAAGTACCTGGCACAGGTAAAGAACCTGATCGCCAAGTTCCCTCATTTTACATTATCTAATGTCCCGAGGGGAGAGAACGAGCGAGCCGACGCGCTAGCTAAGCTGGCGTCGAAGTCAGCCCCCGAAGCCCGGCCCGAGGTCGAGGAGCTCCCTGCCCGTGCCATCGAAATCGCAGTTGCGGCCTCGGGCGGCGCGCCAATCACGTGGGTACAAGAGTTGCTACGCTTCAAGCGGGATGAGACCCTTCCCCCCGACGAGGCTACGGCTCGGCGCCTGCGCCGTACGCATGCGTGGTACTCCGAGGTGGGCGGACGACTCTATAAGCGGTCCCTCACATACCCCCTCCTACGGTGCTTGGAGCCCGACGAAGCTCGGACGGTTCTGGCCGAGGTCCACGAAGGAGTCTGCGGGGAACACATTTGCGGGCGAACCCTGGCGCATAAAATACTTTACCAAGGGTACTACTGGCCGACCATGTGCCGGGACGCGAAGGTCTACGTGCAACGGTGCAGTTCGTGCCAAGAGCACGCCCGCGCGCCCCGGCAGCCCGCGGTCCCGCTCACCCCCATCGATTGCGCATGGTCGTTTGCACAGTGGGGTTTGGACCTGCACTGCAACCCAACACACGTCACCCCACCAGATACTATAAATCCCCGTCTCCCCCGTCCTCTTCTTCACCTTGTCGTTCAGGTTGTATTCCGTGTCCTGCTTAAGAGTGTTCTGACATTGTAGTGAATTAAAAGGATGAGAGCTCGTGTTTCTATTGAAGGATTGTCTTCTTTTTTTCTTTTATTCTGTACTTTGACGTGCTTCTTTGGCAGCAATATGAAACAATAAAGGTTCACACCGATGTTGACGTACAATATTGCTGTGGAGCCAAGGCGGTGGACGCGAGGAGCATTGCCTCCTGGCAGAAGGAAGTCTCCACTTACCAAGTAAAATTTTCTACTTGTCTTTGTATGCATTACAAATTGGGATCACAGAGGTTCTCTTTGCTCTTTCGATCTTCCTCAAATATATTGTTTCTAGTATTCATTCTGGGATCAACCTATTAAGTGCTAAACGTGCTGTATCTTTAGGTCTGTGTATTTTACCGATTATCATTTAGTTTGCTATTTTATCGCACTTTTGATCATTTGCTTAAGATGTTAATATCTGTCCATATTTCGGAGAAATTTAGTAATAATTCTCTTGATTAGTGGCGCTTCACTAGAACATTGCAATTTGGCTAGGCCATGCTTTGGTTCTTGTTCTTTATCATTTTTTGCAAGTACTGTGAACTTCATCTGTGATTTGCAGGTAATGGTCATGACTCCACAAATTTTGTTAGATGTTCCGAGGAAAGGTTTCCTCAATCTTGATATGGTCCACCTGATGGTAATTGATGAGTGTCATCATGCATTGGGCAACCATCCCTACAATAGATTGATGAAGGTATTACTAAATGAGAAAAATAAAAGAACTACTAAATTCTAGTTGCTTCCTTTGATCTTGTAATCACTTCTGGGTTTTGATGCAGGAGTTTTATCACAAGTCTGTGCTGAAACCACATATATTTGGAATGACTGCATCGCCTATCTTGAGGAAAGGTAAGTTTGTTTGCTAGGATATTTGTCCAATTTTGATAACCCCTGCTCTATGGCTTTTATGAATTATAAAAAGTTGAGGCCTTTTACTTAGGATGCAATAGATGAGTACATGTACTAGTGAATAAGATTTGCTTGAAAAAAAAGAAGAAAAACTGAGACCTTGATAGCCTGATTTCCCGCATTGATTTTTTTTGTACTTCATTATTTAGTAAATAACTTGATTATATTTTATGTGGTTTATTCTCTTAAGAATTTATTTAATTTATATTACTATTACCTTTGATTTTTATGCATACACAATTTATTTAATTTATATTACTATTACCATCAAGTGCAGAAGCTAAACTTAGGACCATGGCATTTGGGATTTGTGAACTAAATTGGTTAAAGATGATACATAGAGACTTGAAGATCCTATGTTGTACTATGACAACAAAACAACAATAAATATTTCCCATAACCTAGTTCACCATGATATCCACAAATTAGCTGGCTCATGCTTTGATGAAAGCTTAACTAAGTCCAATGTTCCATAAATTACTTGAGAGGCTTGG